CGCCGAGGACCGCCGCCTGAGCTCGCTCGTCCACCGCGGCGACCTCGACGCGGCGCTCCGCGTCGTCGAGTCCTCTCCCTGCCCGCCCGACGTCCTGCTCGCCAACAAGCTCGTCCGCGACCTCTGCCGCCGGGGCCGCCTCAACGACGCCGCGCGCGTCGTCGAGGCGTGCGGCTCGGCGGCCACGGCCGTCACCTACAGCGCCCTGGCCGACGGGTACTGCCGCGTGGGGAGGCTCGACGAGGCGCGCCGCGTCGTGGACGGCATGCCCGTGCGGCCCAGCGCGTACGCCTACAACCCGCTCATCCACGCGCTGTGCGTGCGCGGCCAGGTCACGGACGCGCTCGTGGTGCTCGACGGTATGCTCTCCCGGGGTTGCCCCCCTGACGTCGTCACCTACAACATCCTCCTTGAGGCGACGTGCAAGGGTAGCGGGTACAGGCAGGCCATGGAGCTGATCGATCTGATGCGCGCCGAGGGGTGCACGCCAACCAACGTGACATACAATGTTATCATGGACGGAATGTGCAGAGAAGGCGATGTGGACGGCGCCCGTGAGTTGTTGAACACCTTGCCTTCTCACGGGTGCACGCCAAACACCGTCAACTACAACACTATCTTGAAAGGTTTGCGCACCGCCGGGCGGTGGGCGGACGTTGAGGAGCTTATAGATGAGATGTTCAGGGGGAATTGTCCCCCGAGCGAAGCAACCCTCAGTGTGGTCATCAGTTCCTTGTGTCAACAAGGATTGCTCCAGCAGGCGATTAGGCTTCTCGAGAAAATGTCAAAGCATGAATGCACGGCAAATATTGCTACTTACAATGCTGTCATCAGTGCCCTTTGTGAGCAAGGCCATGTGGCTAATGCCTTGGAGTTACTAGTGAAGATGGAATCCCATGGTTGTAAACCTAAGACCACTACCTATAACATTTTAGTGAAGGCTTTGTGCAGTGGTGATCAATGGGAGGATGCTGAGGAGCTAATGCCGAAGATGAGCCAAACTGATCAACTTCCAGATATTTCACCATTCAATACACTCATTGGTATCTTGTGTCAAAAAGGGTTGACGCTGAAGGCCATCGAAGTATTTAGGCAAATGCCCAAGAAAGGCTGCTATCCTGATTCAGTCACTTACAGTACACTAATAGACGGGCTTGCCAAAACTGGCAACATGGAGCAATCCCTTGAGTTGTTGAATGAAATGGGCAACAAAGGATTCAACTCAGAGGTAAAATATGAGCTGTTAGCCGAGTTTCTGGATGAAGATGATAAAGTTGAAGAGGCAATCCAGGTGGTTCATAAACTGCAAGATACAGGCATATCACCCCATGCTGTTCTCTACAATACAATACTCTTAGGGCTTTGCAGAAATGGGAAAACAGATTATGCTATTGATATTTTTGCTGATATGGTGTCTGATGGTTGCATGCCTGATGAATCGACTTACATTATACTCATTGATGGTTTGGCACATGAAGGCTATATGAAGGAGGCAAGAGAATTGTTAAGCAAGTTGAGCTCTAGAGATGTTGTCGTTGACAATTTGACCAACAGTGATGCTTCGCTGTCTGATCAAAATATTCACACTTCTTAAGTTATGATGACATCAAGGCTAGCTTGTGCTCTTAACTTTGTTATGTTATAGCGATGAGGTAGGATAGTGCTTACACACTGCTTCAGTTTTGTTGATATGTAAGTTCTCTCTGCTTTAGCCGTATCGTAGCTTAGAGCTTAGTCTCCATCTTAAGATTGTTGTGTAACAATGTACTCAATTATCTTGCAATTTTGGCTGGTCAATCACAATCTTCGTGGATAGTTTAACAAAATATCAGTGTGTGGGAATGAAAATATGATGGATTAAACCTTGTAACCACAAAATAGTATATTTTTGACCTTGAGTCTGAAACTTCTGCATGGATGGTTGGTAATTTAGTCGCTTCTAGTATTGGATTTTATTTTTCTTTGTGTTATTTTGATAGGTAACTATCTTGGGACTAAAACTAGGGAGGTTCAAGTAGCTGGAATGTTGTATGTCTGCTGATGTTTTTTATTATATAACTTTAATAGTTTTTGGTAAAGTAGCTGACTTACAAGGGTGGAGCCAGGATTTAGGCATCGTGCCTAGACAAACTGCTAGAGGAGTTCTATTTTCCTAAATATGATTCGTTCGTGTTCAACCTTCTCCAGACACATACAAAATTTCGGAGACTAAGAAAGTCTATTTGAAGTTTTTCTCTTTTCTTTTTGCACAAAAATGCCGCTATAATTTACTGTGATGAACAAGTTCATGTAGGCACCATACAAGCCAATAATGAAACCAGTATGGGCTATCGTTGAAAATGAAAAACAAAGTATGACATTAGCTACTTTGCTACAGAACAGAGGACTTTACATATACAAGCTTAATGTATGAATTGTACTCCTTCCATCCTGAATTACTTGTTGCAGACATGGATGTATCTAGATGTATTTTTAGTTCTAGATACATCCATTTATGTGACAAGTAATTCGGGACGAAGGTAGTAACAAACAATTATATAGTTCTCCTTCCGTTCACAAATATAAGATGTTCTAGCTTTTTTCTGAATCGGGTGTATATAAACATGTTTAAGCGTGCTTGTCCACTTATTTCAGTCGATATGTAGTCCATATTAAAATATCCTTTTTGCGGGAACATATTTTTTTTGAACAATATTAAAATATCCAAGACATCTTATACGTATTTGTGAATGGAGGGAGTAGTACTAGTAGGTAACTAAAATCGTTTTGGGCTGGCACGGGTGCAAACTGAACACTGTCAACTAACACTGTCTTAATTGAAGGAATGAAGTGTTTGCACAATGTCGCTCGATGGCAGGATGTTGAGGAGCTTACCGCCAAAGATGGCCAGAAGGAATTGTCCCCTGAGCTTACCGGCAAAGCAGGTGATTAAGGGCCTGTTCGGAGTCTCACCACTCCAGAACTCCACTCCGGGAGCGGGGTAGCTTTAGCTGAAAATAGAGGAGTTGGAAACACCCGCTCCGCAGATCCTCGTATTTGTTGGAGCGGGCGGACTACCGAACAGGGCCTAATAATGCGGAACCGCTGTGCTGGAGCTGGAGAGGATTGCGACTTTGGGCGAATCCAGCAGCAATGGCCGTGCGGAGAGTCCTGAATTTGGATGGTTTGTCGAACAGAAATGGCACCACAGCTCGAGAAGATTGCGACTTGGAGAGGAGAAGCCTTTCCCGTGCCGTTATACGTACCTCTGGGGCCGTGGCCCAGATTCGGATTCAAGGAGACCTTCCCTTCCTGGATATAATCAAAATTCAAGACCGATCCGACTCCTACTCCCACTTGATCGACGGTTCCCTATATGTATGAACAAGCGCGGAGAGAGATCTGGTTTCGATTTCACGATCGATGGGCACCACCGCCAGCCGCTCGTCGTCGTCCTCTCGGCCGACCTCGCGCGCCACGGTCAAGACCACCCCCTCTCCGCCGGCCTCGTGCGCCGCCGTCAAAACAGAGTACTCCGAGGCGCGCCTCTTCAGGATGCCCGGCTACTCCGAGTCGGCCCGCATGCCCCCCGGCTCCACGCTGACTCTGGAGACGTTCCAGTTCCGCGGCCAGGGCTGGCGCGTCGACGTGGACCCCGCGGGCAGCCTAGCTTGCTCGGACTCCCTCACCGTCAGCGTCACCGTCGTCGCCGACCACGGCTGGAACTACCCCGAGAACATGGCGACCAAGATATCCATAGACATCCTGGACGAGAGCGGGGAGCGCGCCGCCTTCGGCCGCCGTCACAGGGCTCGGCCTGACGGGTGTGGCGGCTTCGGCTTTCTCAGCGTCAGTAAGACGGAGTTGGAGGCGTCGTCGTGCATCCGCGATGACAGCCTCACCATCAGGTGCACCATGTCCGTCGACATCCTGGAGCCCAAGGTCGACTTGGTGGCA